AATGTTTATGACAGAACTACCCTTTCCATCAGAGGGAACAGGTACCGGGAGACAGAGCCCAATTCTGAAATCTACACAGAGTGATTTGTGCGTCTGGAGAGTCTCAGATTAGTGCTAAAATTAGGTGGCAGAAAGATAAAAATTTAAGACATAGGTTATTTCACTAAATATATGAATTACTATGAATTAATTTCACTCATTCTTACAGAACAAAGATAGACGAAATGTTAATTTTGAATATAAATCCCCACTAGAGCGAACCCCTCAAGGCATGGGGTTTGCTCCCTGTAACTAGTTCAAAATTCATTATTCAAATTGTTCAGGAACTTTATTCAGCATTTAGTGATGCCAATGTCAACATATGCTGAGATCTGTATTATGCAGATGAGATCCAAACAGAGATTAAGATTGTGCAGTCTACAACACAAAGTATATTTATTCCTGCCACTTTGTACCTTCAGCTGCTGAATTTTTTTGCTGGGTTAGTTTTTGCATGGATCAGTTTCTCAAACCATTTTACAAGGAGAGAACAAGACGGGGCAGGAACAAACAGATAATGTGAGGAAGGACCAGAATTCCGCTTTCAGTTTATGCCATTTTAAATTGTCAGATGAACTTGAGAGTTTATCGTTATATTTCCCTCTATACGCTCTATACTTGCCGCTCATAAATAAGTCTGACTGATTCTAGGACAAGAAAGCCTGAATCGAAATGGGCTTCAACACACCCTAAACAGACCCACAACACACAAGAGCTTCTTGTGCTCTCTTCGACTGCTCCCTGGTATTTGATGTTTGATCCCGCCTGTATTTCAACAGAGAAAATGTATGACAGAAGATTATATGCAGAATTAAAGGAATATCTTTGACTGCCAGACTGCAGGGACTGGACCTTCTTTCATACTAGGAAAGTCTGAGAGAGCTGGGACTGTTCAGCCTCGAGAAGTGAAGGCTCACAGGGGATCTCATCAATGTGAACGAATACCTGAAGGGCGAGTGTAAACACGATGGAACCAGGCTCTTTTCAGGGATGCCCAGTGACAGAACCAGAGACAACGGGCACAAACTGAAACAGGAGGCTCTATCCGAACATCAGGAAACACTTTTCTGCTGTGAGCATGACAATTATTGTAGCTAATATCCTGATTCGCTTTGGCTTGGATGCTTTCTAAATATTTTCTGCGGGACAGATGTCAATGCCTCTTTCAGAACTGGGGATAGAAAATCTAAAAATTGACATGAATCTTATCATTTATCCAAACAAAACAAAGCTATCATTGCCCCAAACATTTGCTAGTTGTCTGAGGTTAAGGCACGTAGATGCCTCCAGTTCTGCTGTCACAAATGTGTCTGATACACTTATGAGTGATACTTTGTTGTCATCTTTCAAAAGAGAAGCTAATGAAGCTGGACTCCCTTTCCACTTTATAAAAGATCACATTATTCAAGGCAATACGAGTCATGTCCCTACTATCCTTACTAAACTTCAATCACTTATTCCACATAAAATGTTTTACTTTTCTCCGAATGATGCTTTTCTCCTCTCTAAGCATGCCAAGTAGATAAACCAACGCTATTTGACATGGAATGAGTTTTATTCCAGACAGGAAGAGACGACTGAACTTGGACTTGATAACTATCAAGAGACAACTGGAGCCTACAGTCACAACACCATAACTGTTTTTCCTCTTTTTTTTTTTTTTTTTTGAGGATGGGAGGGTTGAAGCTGATTTTACATCTTGTTACATGTGTTTTTTAGAAGATCTGTGTCTCTTGAATCATGCATGAGTTCTGACTCTAAACATGATTCTAACTGTGAGAATCCAAGATTTTTCTTACCAGGGCCTGATGGAATCACTGTTGAGGAGATATTGAGCGTAATAATAGAAGCGTGTCAGGACAGAATGGAGTAAATGAAACTCAAATCTGTATTCAAACAATTTATAAATTTGAGATAAGTCATTGAGAATAATGCTATTTAAAGAGCAATTCTAGCTTTATCATCTTCAAAATTATTTTTCAAATAATTTTATTTTGAAAATTATTTTATTTTTGCATTACTTAGTCCTGCATTCATATAATATCAAGATTATACTGGCTTTTAGTTGTTTAGAAAAGTGCCTTTTAAATTTTTCTAGTCACATAACAGTGTGACTTAAATGTGTTTAAAGACCACAAAAGCTCAAAACAAATTAAAATAAGTGAAATGCAGTATTTAGAGTTTTTTTGTTTTTAAGCTTATCTTGTTATTTTGAAGACTGCATGGATGATTTTCTAATATTTAGAGTTGTCAGTATGTGTATACATAATGTATTGATGTTGATTGCCACATTATAAGAACATAATTTTCAGTACAATTGTTCCTGCTCTACGTAGACAATCAAAGATATCTGTGAGAATCAGGTACTTCCTTATTAACACAAGTAAAAATTGATGAATAAGTAATATTTTCTCAAAGTAATGAAAATATGAATACTAGGAATGTACACAAAGGCTTGGGTTGGCAAGATGTCCATACTGCACAACATAAAACTTCATTTGGAAACATCAAATTCTGTATAGTGTCAGCAACTGGACTTGGATTAAATACCTCACTACATACAATGTGCGTGATATGGTAAGCTCCTTTTAGTACATAGCAATGTTTTAACAAATTTGTGTTCAAAACAGCTTCTTTCTTGCATTTCTAAACTTGTCTTAGTGGAATAATCTCCGAAACTCCATTGGAAATCAATGGCATTTGGGCACCTGTCTCCCTTCGAGACATTTGACAATTGTGGTATTTAGAGTAAATGTTCTTCCTCTCTGATGTATGACAACTATTTTAGAGTGTAAGCTCCATGGGGCAGGGACTTTTTAATCACAGGTACCCGAACAGAGGCTATTATCCTTCAGATGTTATTGGTGTATAAATAACTATTAACTAATATGCAATGATTTTAGAACAGTTTCATGTTAAGTATAAATTAATTATGAAAATAATTGTTTCTTTTAAAAAATCCCCAAGGTATCTTCAGAAATATAAGCCAACACACATGGTCTGCATGGTTTTTGCTTAATGGTAAAGTACAATCCCTTGATAAATGACATAAACAGAAACTGATGTGAAAAATGAATACAATTTATTCTAAGGCTGTGCTCCTGGCTTTCTAACAATTCCAATACCTTTCCCTGTAAGCATCTCTAAACTGAAAATATATCTCCTATTTTGCATCCTATAAAAAATGAAACTCTTCTAACTTATATTCAGATAGGCGTCTAGCAAAAGAATTAATTCAAAATAGGTCTTTTTTACTCACATGACTAGAGAACAATTTCAAAATAGACCCTGCAATTTTTCTCCACCTATATCATGTATCATTCAGCAAATAAGTTGCTACAACCCACAATATTTTTATTTCAATATAATTACATTAAAATAAAAAGAGTAATTGCATACTAAGCTATTTCTAGTGGTGTGATAGATGTGGAAAAAAGTGGCACCATCATGTTTTCTTTTGCTTATTGTCGTTGAATGCTGGCTTGTTCTGAGGATGTATAGATCATGTGGTAATGCCCTACAGCTCATAAAACTCTTGTATATATGTGTGTTAAAACATTCTGTTTGTTATTTCACAGCATTGATTTCCATTAGCAATCATAGAAACATTTCAACTCAGTTAAAGGTACTAATATTTCATTCGTAAATCATGGCTTGGCTTGTGTGGACAGAAGCCTCATATCAGAAACGCATTCATCTTCTCCGTTAGGAAAGGGATATGAGTTGTGAATATCTTTATGCAATAAGAGTGAGTGCATGGACCTTTATTGTGCTGAAGTAAGAATTAATATAGCAACAAGTGAATGCATTTTGTAATTATTTTTTCTGTGCAGGAATAGTTACACATTTGTAGGAATGAGTTAATACACTGCTCTAATAACAAAAAGACACATCCTGTTCACATATTCATAAGACTGGTAGCATCAGTTCATGGTTTGTCCTTAGAAATATGCAACAGATGTAGCTGGTCCCAGGGAAAGCACATGACCCATTAACATCATTGACAGCAGATAACAGGATTTAACAGAAAGAAAGGATGGTGCATAATAATGTGTCAGGCCCATTCCTTAACACAGCAGGCAGTGTCACAAGGTGGGCAGTACTCCCATAGAAGTCAGTAGCAGAAATGTTTATTGATTCTAAAAGAAGCACAAGTAAAATGATCCTAGACAATTTAGAAAAGCTCTCACACAATGACCACATTGTAAGTAGCTCACTTTTTTTCTTCTAAACAAAATTAGCATGTTACCATGGTACCCAAGAGGAATCCTGTGGTTCTACTTCAGGCAAGCTCCCATTGTTCTGAACAAGAGATGAGCAAGGACCACAGCAACTAGCCCTGTGGTTTGCTGAACTAATCATCTGCCTATGTAAATCTGCATAACATCATTGTTTCAGTGGCATGTGTTGCTTTTTCTGATAACAATCTATCTTACACTTGCAAGTGGAATATATTTAATATTAAAATCCCATTAAAATGCCCTCTTTCTGAAAAATGTCTGATCTTGTTCAGATAGGTCTCATTTTATAAATGTCATGGTTATTTCAGCAAAAAAGTCTCATATTAAATGCAGTACTTTTGTAATTGATAAGAAGGAAATAGACATATTAGTTCAAATAGGTGAAATTCAGTCAAGACTCTCTCATAAGCAGTCTTATTTGTTATTTTACTGCAGTATACTCATTCATATACCTTGATACTATTTCTTGCAATGAAAGAAATCTTAATGATGAATTTTGTAACCACTACAGTCATTAGTATGTACATTAGTATTCACATTGTATAAGCTTTGCCATATAGATTACACTATGCACATTTTAACACTCTGAAATACTCTGGCAGCTCTTAGGGCCACCTCTATTTGTATGTCACATCTTTCTTTCTGTCCAGGAAGGAAACATAAAAATTATAAAGCAACGTTCATAACATTCACGTGAAATCCTTATGCTTGCCTTTCCAGGTCTTGAAGGGGTTTCCAGAATGCTTACAAGCTGACATTTGTCTGCATCTCAATCAAAATTTGCTTCAGAATTGCAAAGCTTTCCGGGGAGCCAGTAAAGGCTGTCTTCGAGCTTTGGCTATGAAATTTAAGACAACGCATGCACCTCCTGGAGACACTTTAGTGCACTGTGGAGATGTTCTCACCGCTCTTTACTTTGTGTCAAGAGGCTCCATTGAAATCCTTAAGAGTGACATTGTCGTAGCCATCCTTGGTAAGTAGATTACTACAAGGCATCTAAGAGATTACTAAGAGACGGGATTGAAAAAAAATACCCATTCTTGTTCCTGAGGAAGGAAATTTGTAAATCGTTTAGTCACTGTTATTAATATCGAACAGAGAAATAATTTGTTTAAGGGGCAAAGTCTACATTACTGCAATAATTCATGTGCCCCAAAGAGCTCATATTCTTGGATATCTAAAGAAAAAAGAGGAGTGAGTTAGATTTATCCCTAGGTAAGTGGTAAACTGCAAGTTGAGGTAAGCAGATACCAAATTACTCCAGTTCTGATTATGCTGCAAGAACAAAAGTCAAGGATACCCTTTTCTTAAAGAGTGTATGGATGTTCTGACACACATAGACCCCTTATAGGTTAACTGCAGAAAAACATATATCTACTTTAGGCATTCAAAATGTCTTCTCGAGGTTTTCAGAAATGTCTGCTTCTGTTCACTAAGCATATAGAAAAGGGAGAGAGAATAACAGATTAATCTGATCTCGATTGATACTTAAGTGTAATAACACCAGTATTTCCCCTACATTTCTTATCAACATATTCTCGTTTGCATAGCATGGGGAGTTACTTGTTTTCTTTCCCAATGAAGATGTGTTCAGAGCAATGTTCAATCCTGCTAGGAGCTAACCTGCAGCTGGTGATGGCTCTTATATGGTGTCAGTAAGTCTTCGTTAGCTACAGCAATTTTAAAAGTCAAATAACTAAAACCCTACCTAAATAAGACTGCTTCTTTGTTTCTCCAATTTAATATCAGGTAATAAGAACACAAAGAATAATTGAGTGGATGAGTAAGCATTTTGCTGTATGGAAACCTACAGCAGCTGTAACATCATTCATATGTTCTCCTTTCTGTTTATCATCCACTGTAAGAACTTAGAGCTGGAAAAGTAGCTGAAGCAAAATGTGGACTGGTAGCAGTATGTTGCTGTTAATCCACTTGTGGATTATTCTGCTAGTAGTTTGCACAGTGGACACATGAGCAGAAGTATAAAGGTGTGCCCACAGCAATCCTTCCCTAGGTTTCGATGGCATTATCAAGATAATTTGTCATCTCATGCTGTTGCATCTCACCACTGGGCCAGCTTTAGGCACAATGAAAGTAGAGAGCATGCAAGTACAACACTGTGAGGTTTTTACTTACCTATGTGAGAGTCTTCCTCTGATTATGAACAGTATGGCTCATCAAGGATTTCATCTCTTACATCAAAACATGTAAATTTCTATAGCACCACAATCAAGAAAAATTGACACATTAATTTGAACACATTAATTTCTTCCTGGACCAAATTTCCAGATTGATCAAGCTTTGCATGTTATGCACATCATACTGCTGTGCTCTCACACTGCAGCAGAAACCCACGTATTTGCAGTGCAATGCCACTGCGTCTCTTCCAGTCTACAGCTCTTCACACCAGGGGCTGCAGATTGGAGCCCCGCTCTCCCAGGGCACAGTGGTCCAGACAGAGAGAGAGACAGTTGTGCAAAATTGCAGCCTAAAGGAACTTCTCTGTGGGTCCACATCTGTTGCTTGACCCATGAGGCAGGAGCCTGATACCTGCCTCCAGTCAATGAGTCTGTGCTATCTTGACGAATCTGCTGAAATAAAAAGGAAGATAATACGAATGAAAATTACTCTGCAATGAAATCACACAGAAACCTAACAAAGATTATCAATACTTAGCCAAATATTTTTATTTAATTTCTTTTTCTGAAAAACCTACACACAGAAATGGACATAAAAAACACTCAATGCTTTGTCCTCTGGAGTTGAAAAGACTTTAGTCCAGCAAAGGTAGCATGGATGAATTTTCAACCCTGAATACGTATTGCAACTTCATCACAGAAATCAAAGAGTTCTGAGAAACGTTGGGTTTGTCCCCCAGTTTTCCTCAACTCATCAGCACTGTCTGGTGCTGATGAGTAAGGCCTGATCACTACTGAACTGACAATAGTAGTTCTGTGCCAAATCCTTAGAAAATACAATGGCTGTGGACCTTGTAGAATCTATTACCTCTTTCAGCATTGCAGACAAGGTATAAAAATCCTGCGATTGTGTCAATAGTCATGTTGCAGAAATGGTATTATATGCCTTGAACAAGGACCTCTGCATTCGTAAACATTAAGGGCAGAAGGCCTGTTAGATTACATTGGCTAACCTCTGTTATATCTCTGCCTCCTGTTACATTTCATGCCTTTAACTATCTGTTGTGTCTAATCAACTGTGTTTGATGAAAGAGAAGCAACTAATTTTGATCTGAAGACATAACAAGATGAAAAAGTGATCACTTTTCTTGGCAGTTTATTTCCAAAGTTAATAATTTTTATTGTTAAAAATATGTGCTTTATTTCCAGTATTAAATTACCTTGCTTCAATTCCTTTCCATTGGTTCTTGCTATGCATTCCTTATTATATTCTGGAGGCATTTAGTACCAAGTAAATTCTCCTCTCTATGAGGATATACGCAATATAATCAGGTTATCTCTTAATCTTCCTGTTAGTAAGCTAAGCAGACTGTGCTCTTTAAGATCCTCACTGTAAATCGGTCTTCAAATTATTTTTTGCATCTTTTAGCTTCTTGCTTACACAGTTTTCAGCTTCCTTTTTAGAAAACAGAGAAACCAGAGCTATTTGCAGTAACCTAATAAAAAAGTCACAAGTACATAACAGAGAAGCAAAATCACCCCTGTATCCTTTTTCACCAGTCTACTGTTTCTAAGTTGTTGCGACCACTATTCTTTTCCACAAGTGTTTTTCCTGTTCACCCCCAAACCCTATTTTGCAGGTAAGCCCTGCAACCCGTAGTTTAGACGGTATTTTCACTGGTCTATGGCTACAGCTGCTCTGCATTGACGAAGGTTAGGTGCCGATTTGGGGAAAACGAGCAATTAAATAGAGATGACAATTTTAGCAAACAGGTACCATGAATGTATCAACATAGATGGAAAGAATTGTCATAGTGTCAAAACAGAGGCAGCTACGTCTAAAGAGCTTCTTCAAAACAACTTCTACATCTTGAAAGTTTTGCACTCCTTCTGAAAAATATAAAAACTAAGTCATTTTCTACTAAAATATATCTCAAGTATGGTCTGTTTCTTCATGTAATTCTTAATAAAATGAGATTCCAGGCCAGACAGGTCATGGACTTTACTGAACAACAGAAATTATAGCTTTGTCATCTTAATAATATGATTTCAATCAGCAAATAATGTTTTTACAAGAAAGGACAAAGGAAACTGCTAAAGACATGCTGTTTTTATGGAACTGAAGAAAAATTGTGATGAAACTAGATTTTCCTTTCACTTAGTCCAGTTATATGCCTATGTAATTTCACTCATTTTAATAATTTTACTTTTAATGTTTAATAATAATACTTTGGATTTAACAACACATGTGCAATGGTAATCTGATCGTACCACTTCATGTAAAATCAAGTATTCTACACCATTATCATAAAGAAATAAATCATTCCATTTAATGGCTTATTCATGTTTGAAATAATAATCTCCATCTAATTTTCTTTCTGCAGGGAAAAATGATATCTTTGGAGAGATGGTACATCTTTATGCAAAACCAGGAAAGTCAAATGCAGATGTGAGAGCTTTAACTTACTGTGACTTGCATAAAATCCAGAGAGAAGATCTACTAGAAGTTTTGGATATGTACCCTGAATTTTCTGATCTCTTCCTCACCAATTTAGAACTGACTTTTAATCTGAGAGATGAAACCGCAAAGGTACATACATTAACTGATTTTTTTCTTAATATTGGACTGAATCTGTCCCACAGTAACAAAACTTGAAAATAGACATTGAAAAACCAAGGTTAGCAAAATTAAAAGCTAAAAGCCTGAGGCCAAATCCTATTTTAAAAAAATGTACTCACCTGATTGCTCTTACTGAAGTCAGTTAAACTCAGCAGAAGTCAATAAAATGATTCGGATGATGTTAATCTAAAAGGATTTTGTTCTATATTTAAATAGTATTAAAGTTTCAGCCAGAGGGATTTTGGATGTTTTGTTAAAGCCATGGAAAATATGGTTTTTTCAGATGACTATAGCCAGGGTCACCACAAGGGGAACTTTTGGCACTAAATATAATTGTACAGCCATAAAATAAAGATAAATCAGATTATCCAGCTTCATTTGGTGTCTTACAATAGAAAATATTTAATTGCCTTTCAAACATGAATTGTTAATTCTCTTATCTTGGAGTGCACCCTACCTCCTAGGAGACTAAAAGCATACAAGGGACTTTCCAAATTTCACTCAGTCTTCAGAGTTGCAGGGATTTCTTGGTCTCTTTTTCCCACAGTGACTATTCTAAGTTTCCCCTTTTGCACAGATTGCATCTTCAGGAGAGCAGAAAAATTATTCAGAGTGCCAGGGTCAGCCTGAATTGGAAAAGAAAGGGGAGGTTTGGCCAAAAGGGGAGAGGGGAAAGGCTATTGCACAGCTCATGCTACTGAGGCTAAAGCTTTCCCTAGAAACTTGCAGGGTACCTCAGCACTGGCCACCAAACATGGACTGCCTATAGAATGACTAGTTTACATCTCATTGTTTGTGAGATACTGCTGTTTTGTGGTTTCTGACTATGCTTTTAAGGAAAAACAGAGGTTTAGTGAGAAGGTGCTAACATAATTTGGCCTCAAAGGCCTTCTGAGAAACAAGGAGACTCAGAACACTAAGTTTTGGACTGTAAATGGTAGGGACATCTTTGCTAATCACACGTAGATCTTTAGCTTAAAAAATTTAAAAAAATATAGCTTCTGACAAGAAATGTCACTTCGTTTTATTCTAAGCCTTTTTTTTATTAAAAGATGGTTCCAAAAATAAAAGACCAATTTTATTCTTTATTTTAAAAGTCATCCTTTTGTGTTTATTGAAAAGGTCATCATTATTAATTACATGTGAAACACAATACAATAAATTTACAGTCCAGTGATAAATTAAAGTTAACACTGAAAGTCCACATATTTGAAAAATTCCTTGAGGATAAATTCACATTAACAATTTTAGTCTGAGCAATTATTTCCTGCAATTACATTGTCATTAATGTTTTATCACTATTTTTTCCTTATATCTGAGAAAATTGAAACAAAATTCCATCTTCTTTGCTATCGTGTAGAATACATAAAGTCCTCACTGCTCATGTTCCTTAGAAATTTTTCAGCTGTTATTTCTCACTGCCATACCAGCCACTAAGGAAAAATTGCTAGACTTCACAGAAACTGGGAAGGGAGGACAGGCTTACCCATGCCTCTGAGCATGCAGAATCAGTTTTCTCCAGCAATTCTACTTCCTTTCCACTGTCTGTTGCAATCCAAAAAATCAACCCCCAAAACAAGTGATGAGAACATTCTGATCTCCAAAACATCACTCAGATCCAGATTTGTTATCTGAATAATAGGTACTTCTGTGTCAACTTCTGCTCCCGTCCTCTTATTTATGTAAAAGTGCCTTTTTCTTCCTGCAGTTATTCTACCAGTGGGCCACCACTGAAGCACCTTACCCACCAGGTTTACAATGAAGGGAATAGAGAAAGATGTAACTTCCCACTTCTTTCCCTCTGCTCTTCTCTCACATGCAAATCTGCTTACTTGAGTGGTATGGGAAACCTCACTAGCACAGGGGAGGGAAATAGGCTGAAGCCAGTGCCACAGGTATCTACACAGAGCATAACTGGTGATATATTTGCTTATTTGTAAATGTCTCCGTTTTGAATAAGTAGAAAGAGAAGTTAAATGCATCTTGTATTTATTATGGAAAAAAAAAAAAGAAAAGAACATCCATCTTCTATAAGATTGAGAGAAAAAGACAACATTGTTCTGCTATGGAAATAAGTTTATCTGAATGAACTGAATCCTACAGAGAGGAAGGCAGGGTCTAGAAAGTCAGAATAATGAGGGGCTGAATGTCTGGTGTTTGTCAGTGCTATATTTATTGTTGTAAAATGTAACCTTTATAATCATTACCACGTAGTTAATATAAATCTAATTACAATCAGTAACCACATTACTTTTTGCGATAACATACATTTTCTGTTAGAGGTTATTTAGGGCTTTTTCATCAATTTCTCTAAGATTACTGAAACCACATCTGTGCAAGTTCAAGAAGCTGATGACATATGAACACATGTCTTTCCATGTAAACTTAGTATCAGGATGCTTTTGTTTCACCATCAGGTGGTGACATTGTTGGTTTTGCTCAATGTGCACGAACTTTTTAACGTTATCATTGAGCAATACCATTAGCTGGGGATGAAGAGCTTGATGCAGACTGACTTGTGTAATATTGCCTTTCTTAAAGCTTGAACATGATTAATAGTCAATCACTTATTGAAAACCTGCTCTCTTTAGATGGGACTAATCTGTCATTATGTTTCATATTTCATTAATCAAGTCTGACCTCGTAATAAGATCACAAACTACTAATGATACGGATGGAGATAACTGCAAACTACGAAGACGGAAATTGTCCTTTCAAAGTGAAATAGAGAAAGGTAATTAACTTCGTTTCTTACATTAGACAGCTCTGCTTCATTATTCATTGATATTTCACTTGGTAATACTGGGTGCATTACAGTCCCATGTTGGCTGTTACTGTAGCAGCTCTTGAGAACCCAGCTGAGCAGTAAAAACACTCTGCATTGTCCCCTATATGGTTATATACGACAAGAGGATATCAGTTTCACCATTTCATGACTTCATACATATCAGTGCAGAGCTATTGAAACACTCAGCTGCCTTATTACCCTTTAGATATACATATATATACTTATATTTTCTCTTAAACATGATCTATTTTCTGAAACGCCATGTTTTAAACTGTTTGGAGAAGCTAGTCTATTGGATTATTTATAAGCAGCGTTGATTCTAGTTCCTCAGCAAAGTGCTTTGTTGAACTTGATGCTAGGCAGTGTTTCTCCCTGGAATTAAAATATTTTGTTTTCAGGACACATTAGATTAACCATAGTCAGATTTTGATAATGTGTAAATGGTTGGCCTGGCAAGAGTTCAGGTAACATTTTCTGTGCTTCTGTTCACCTTAGAGGCTTTTGGGAGTAAATTCAGTGAAACATTAAACTATGTCACCAGTATTCAGTAATGCTAAATACCAGGAACTGCAGATAGTAGCTGTGGTCAGACAGCAACAGTCATGAATACAGCTAAACTGACACTCACAGGATTTTCATTTTTATGTAGGGATTGAATAACATCACACTTTTATGGTCCAATGGTTTGTCTGACAAATTACTGTTTCTGGTATGCCTGTCTTTCACACTCCACAGTTAAACTCCAATCCTAAATGCAGCATAATACCAATTTTAGAGTTGCAGAGTAGCTAATAATAAATGAGAACACTTTAAACATACATAGCAGGTATAATGGTCGATGAAGGAAGACTTTAATCCAGAGTGTGGCTACTCAGAACAATGACATTGCCGTTCAATCAAAGAAGCGTCTTTAGGGCAGGAAGCCAAGACTGACAACAAATCTGTCAGGAAAATGTCCCCATGAAATATTCAATCTGCTCTTCACAAAGAATCTGTTGACAGAGGCGTTTTGCCTCAATAACCTTCACATTTCTTATGAGAAAACATATGCTGCCACCTAGACAAGAGAGAAGTGATCTTTCATGTTGTGCCTGCTGCAGAATTGCAAATAGGCTCTTCAGGTGTCACTGTGGTACCCAGACCCCTAAGCTTTTATGGTTCTTGCCCAGCAGATTATACTGAACATCCTCTTGGCAACATGTATTTGCATTACTTTTGGAAGAATATAATTTCTCCCAGTTTTGTCCTTGAAAGAAAATCCTTGCACCATTAGGGAAGAAGAGACAAGACTGGCAACAAGCTCCTTAGTCCTGATAATGACTGTACAATAACTGGTAATGTCTAAGTTAGACAGAAGTGCAGTACATTGAAAGTCTATCTGAGGAGAAGATGCAATCGTATGAGTCCATTGCCAAGAACCGAGTTTGGCTTACTACCCCCTGGTTCCTGTTCAAATTTTTTATATGTTGCCATAGCTGCAGCAGACACCTCGTAGTCATAGACCTTCAATGTCACTTTTCTGTGGCCCATCCTACATCCTGTATGAGGTTGTAGAGTACTAGAGGTTAATACTGGCTTGTAAAGTAATATTCTATTGATTTCGACACTTTACATATAGGAAAGAGCGGCATCATATTTTGATCCAGTATAGTTAGTCTATCATGATAAACATTTTGGGAATGATCCTGCAGAGTATCTCAGAAGAACTGGAGTAGAAAAGAGTTTCTGAACACACAGCTGGCAAATGCATTTCTGGTTGCAGTATTCTTAACAGATAAAAAATGTGTGTTGTATGAAGACTTTTAACAATAATATTTTGATTTCAGAACTACACTTTGAACAGGATGGAGACACTTGACATTCTCACTTTTATGTTTTTATATTTTACATCTCAGTAAATTCTTATTGAATTGTAATTGGGAGGGGGCTGTTGCTCACGACATGGTCTTCTTGCTGGCATTCTTTACTTCCAGCTGTTGACCTAGTAGCGTATTATGCAGCTTGAAATTGTTGTAAACAGCGATTTTCTCCCTTTTGGAGTGCTAAAAATGGGATTGTGTTATCTCAGCCTTTAGTTCATGTTAGCCTGATTTGGACCTTGTTGCCATGGTAACTTGCTGCACAAGTTTTATCAGGGGTTAAACAAAATAAACAGAGCTCTCTGTTATGCATCTGCAGTTAGTACCACTACTTTTCCAATTCCATGCAAGACCTTCTCACTCTGGCTATACGTATTTCCACCATTTCTTATCTGTGTCAACAAAAATTGATCTTAGCTAGTATGCTGGGCTCTGCCATAATGTCATTTTAAAAGTGTACAAGGCTACTTTAGGGACCAGCTTGTTCTCTGGTTTCTGGAAATCACTGTAATACCACAAGAGGTCCCTTGCAAAAATTAACACACTACATAGCAGCTTATTCTTGCTCTCACCCAAAAGAAATTCATTGCAAGTCTTTCAGAATAATGGATGATATTCCTTGCACAGGTGCAGGTGCAACCTTAGCCAGTTGCCATAGATGCTTGACAGTCAGCCAAGAAACTCTCCATAAGACTGCTTAAAATAAGCAGTATTCCTGCCTGACAGTTCCAAAGCTCTCAGCTGGGTTGGCAAGTTAGTCTCCTGCTGAACAATGAGCTGCTCCGTCTACATTCAGTTGTCTCTTTCAGCAGTACAGAATATAATCCTTTCTTGCCCATTTCTCATTTTCCTCAAGCAGTTCTGTGGAGGTTAGCTAATTTCAAGGGACATACATAGAGGCAAGAAGTTTCTTTTGCTCTGCTAGTTCTGAGTGCAGATCTATTATCCCATGCTGAATGGGCCATCACTAGAGTTGGTGACATCAATACAAAATCCAAACATACAGGTGAAAAATGCAAAAACTACAGGCAGAGTGTAAGTAAGCTCACTGAGATCTTGAAAACTTGAAGCTTTGAAAAGACTTTTCTGGAATGAAACGGAGTTCAAGCATTATTACTTTTGCTAGCTTCTTGTTTAACTTATTGTTAATGTTGGCTCTAAAATCTTAACCTGTTCAAGTGTCCAATTATTCCCATTAAAAGATACTCCCTTTGTTTAACTTTAGCTCATGTAACCCTTAGCTGAAGGCTATCAAAATTCCAGACCTGTTCTGAGCACTCACACGTAATTTTCTTGAAGCCCTAGAAGCAATCAGGTAGAAAATTTTTTCCAAGGAGAAAACTGATTTTGGTTTAAAGCTGCACTTGTTACATAGCCTAATCATAGCCACCCTTTGTTCTTTTGACAGAGCATATAAAATATTTCCATCATATCCAGGGTAATTAAAATGATGGCTAAATAAACCACCATTAGCTGTGATCCAAAAACAAGAATGTCATCCCATGGACTCTAGCTGAGTGGATGTAAGAATTCCAATGGAGTTAAAATGTTAAACTAGTAACCGGAGATTCAGGTAGCTAGTGATACTTAATTTTTAACTTTTGTCAGTTGGTCCAGGGAACTCATAACAAGGAAGTTTTTTTCCATGGATATGATTTTAAAAGACCACAAAAGAAAATTCTTACAAAATCTCATTACACAGTTATTGTGTGCTCTCGCCCATGTTGACACAGATTGTAACAATCAAGTAGGATATAAAATGCATTTTGTAGTGTTTCATTTTTAGCGTATTGTTAACTAAGTAAACTTACATAGTACTTAATTTGAATTTGAAGAATTATGCTTCTTGACCAGACTTTTCCAAAAGTGTCTACTGATATGTTCTCAAAGTAAGCACAGAGGCTAGACATCCAATAAACTTCTAATTGAATCTTGATTAGTACAGCTACCTTAAGTGTGCAGTGCTTATAGGTACTACCCAAGCTAAGAAGCCAAACCATATTAACATAGCTTTATTACACAAGGTATCCAGAGGCTATGGCTGGCAATATAGAAGACAGGGAAATCTTTGAAGAACTGATTCCCCTGCCTAAAAGTATGAGGTGAAGCAGTACCAAGAGATTGGGAAACACACCTTGCCCTTGCTCTCTCATTCTTTTCTCCTTCCCCAGCTTATTTATTTAAATGCTTACTTTATGAATAGATGACTCAGCCAAGCACTGTGCTGTGTCCCCAGCAAGAAAGTAGAGTAAGAATCCGGACAAAAATTGAAGCTCTTACTTAACTGTGTTAAACTGTTAGTATTATGCTGATGAAGTTTGCTTGGGCTTAATTAGAAAAGAGTTTCTAATATTCAGCCAGAGTGTCAGGTGGTTAAATGACCAGGAAAAACTAATATCTTGGCAGGCAGCATATGGCTTGAAACAAGACCTCACATCCCCAAAATATCACCTTCAGCATGAAACCCCTAACAAAAAGTATATAGTCATCAGAGAGCCCATCACTGCAGTTTTCCATCTGCTCTTATTATTGTTATTGTTATAGCTGTTACCACAGTGTCTAGAAGTCACCTCAGGGAGCTTCCACAGAAGAGTTTTGTTTCCAGGAGGTGCTCCCAGAGAGGCTATTTCCAGAGTCCACATCTGATCAAAATGTTGTATGCAGTCACACATACCCATAGCCATCCTTTGGAAAAAAAAAAAAAAAAAAAGTAATAATCCTACAGTGAAAGCTGAATTCCTTGTAAAAGAGAAGAAAATTCTAAACTTGATAGTAAAACTGCATTGGCTTTTGCCTTGAATCCTTTCTGAGGTGCATGTTTATAATCCTTTGTTTCTGACTTTTTAAGTATAGTATTATTTCCTGAAGACTAAATCAAGAATTGTCCTTCCGTTATTATCTGATTAACATTAAATTGATACAAAGCCAGACTGAGCAAAGAAAATTCAGAGATAAGGCTGTTACTCCATCCCTAACTCATCTCATTATACTAAAAATGGCACAAAAGAATAAATGAAGGATTGCATACTCACTGTAACCTTGAAATTCTTGGCTTTTTAAATGTGTCTCAAATTCAGTTATTCAAAA